CCACCCTCTTGAGAAGCAGGCTTAACAGTCATCCTCTCCAGTATTGGCGAATTCGCAAGCAAAAGGAAGATAAAATTCAGCTCTCTCCCAACCCCAAAAATCCCAGCAATTTTCACAAACCGTAAYTGGTTAAAAAAGCAATTCTGGTAGTCTTCTACCGACAAGTTCTTCGTAACTGYTCTTGGACCASGCTGTTCSTCTGGTCGTGCCTACACAATTGGTTCAACAATTTCATAGAGAAATTTCCAAACCAAACCAAACACAGTAAAGGCACTGGTTCAAAGCACAGAAACTCACCAACATTTCTAGCTCCAGAAGGTTGGGTGAACTCCTAAGAATGCAAAGAGCAGCCAGACATTCGTCCATGTCATTGAAATTTATACGTAGTGACAGATAATTCAGTTCCATACAAGGAGTAGGTAACTTCCTTGGCATCATATCAACCGCTAGAAACTAGAAACAGACAAGGAAAGTAATACTAGATTAATGTTGTAATTTGTTGGCCTGCGTCCTCTCTCCAGCTGAATCAAGAAAACAGAAAGAGTTTAATGACTTTTACCTTTAAAAAGAAACTTTGAGCCTCGAGTCTTTGAATACTTGGCAAAGAAGCAAAAAACTTGATCAACTTGCTCGTAGTTCCAATAGTAGGCTCCTGATCATTGCCAACATTGACATACAACCCAATGGAAACAGTAGAGAGATGGAAGGTGTTCTCGAGATTGACATCTTCAAAGACACCTCCAATGTCGAGGAAAGTAAGTTTTGGAGCATGAATCTTGAGATGGATAAATCCCTCAAAGTTCGTCAATGCTAACCTCTCGAGTAATGGGCACCTGTATATCAGATCCTCAAAAACATCTTGGTCCATTGTAATSTGTTGAAGGTCAAGGCTGGTTAAGATCTTAAATCCATTGAAAGCTGAAGGAGGTCTTAACAAACAGTTGAATAGCTCCAGATGAGATAACTTGTCGCACAAGTAGAAAGAAGAAGGTAGCTTGCAGCATCGACCCTTCCATATCTCAAGGGTAAATTCCTTAACAGACCCTCGTGAAAGAAAGAGAATCCATCGATCAATGTCACAAACACCTTGGAGGTCTCCGTGAGAAAGCTTGAACTTGCGAATCAGACCGTTATGAAGTAAGAGGACATGATCAACAATCTTAACCATCTTATTTTTTATGATTGTTGGGTCATGGGAAGATACTAGCACAGATTGATCATCAAACACAAGACTTGTAAGGTTCAGCCACTTGTATCTCCACTTACTTGACAATATGCTAGTCCTTACTGCATCCCTTAGTGTTAAAAGAGACAAAAATTTGTCTACTATATGCCCTGGTAAGCTGCTGATTCTATCAACCTCCATTTCCATTTGGCAAGGGGCTCTTTGCTTCTGAAAACAACACTTTAAATAAGTTATCATGATGCGGTAAGCTGCAAAATGAACACATAACATAAAACTGTAACACATAATACAAGATTTCATGTGAAACATTTTCAGCATGACACTGCCATCATCAAATACATATAACATATCAAGTATCATGAATGCATGCATTAATTTGCTGGTGAACTAACAWTTTGTTCAATACTTATGTATATACCTGCATCTGCATGCATGTGTACACAATTAGCTAATGGGTCACAGAAGATCGATCTACATKCTGCTCAAGTGCTTAACAATCATCACTTGGGTTTTGGAGTCATTAATTAGATGACATGGGTGAATCTGATTTCAATATGGAAAGATAAATAACACAAATCCATGACCCAATCAATTTCGGTTATGATCGAGAGATCGAATTATGTATGTTTTAGTCGCACCTAATGAGCACAGAAAGAGCATTGTAGAACATATATACACATTAAGGGGCTGTTTGTTCACC